AAACAATCTGGCCAATCAGAGATTGTTGAGCAGAAATGAGATGACATGAGAAGGAATGATCAGTAATTTGTACGTCTTCACATTCTCAGCCAGTAAAGTGCAGCTTGTGTGAAACACTGTGGACCTCAGTGTGCATCTTCCTGTCAGCTTCTATCGCAGATGCTTATCGGCGTGTGGACGTGTTCGTATGTTGTGCAGCGGAGCGCGTCGATGCCTGACTTCGTACCGAGTCGTGTTCTCCGTCTGCGGATCTTCTACTGTCAGGTTTCCAGTGCTGCCTCCTCCTCCTCCTTCCTCTCTTTTGCCTCGCTCTGACCTGAGGCAGCAGCAGAAGAAGAAGAAGAGACGACGGATATAGTAAGCACATATTTCACCGCAGAAAGTACAACCAGTACAAGTTTAAATATGGGACGGAGAGCGAGCGACACAATGAAGGCAGGAGGGAGCAGAAGTGGGAAGAACGTTACGTGTGACCAGAACAAAACTTTGTGCAACAGCCATAAAAAAATACTCGATATTAACTCCAACTTGTGCTAATCATTGAGGTTAAAACTTGTAATTTGTTTTCATCTTGTAGGACCTTACAGCTGTTTATTCATCCTGTCCTTTAGTTCTGCATCATATTACTGGACTTAACTGTGAAATAGGATCATTAGACGTCCAGTTTAAACACCTACATGTACAAACGTGAAGCTGAAATACTTTCAACTGATTCTCTGAACTAGTGTGTGTGTGTGTTTGTGTGTCTGTTCTTCACATAACTCAACAACTATACATCTGATGTTCTTCAAACTTGGCAGGTGTACATCTGGAGACACGAGGAAGTGCAGCGTTGAGTTTGAAGTAGATCAGATTAAGATTAGTCCAATTATTTTGGGGTCTTTCTGGGGTCTTCAACAGGCCTTTGGATGGCTGCAGTCAAAGCTGAAGCTACCCCTTGATGTCACATTCTGATAAGATCCATCCAGACATTGGCACAGAGAGTTTGCTTCGTCTTATTTTTGTGTTTTATTTGTTTATCTTGTAAGAATGTAGAAGTCAAAGCCATTAGTTTAGGTGTCCATTCATTTGTCTTCAACATTGCCATTTAGTTTTTAATCATTGGCAAAAAACATTTAGCCTTAGAAAATGTTTTTATTCCTTTTCCAGTGGTTTCAAAACACTGTGTGTGTTTGTGTGTCTGTTCTTCACATAACTCAACACCTATACACCTGATTCACTTCAAACGTGGCAGGTGTATCGCTGCAGACCTGAGAAAGTGCAGCGTTAAGTTTGAAATAGATCGAATGAATGGCGTCTGTTTTTTTGAGGTTTCTTAAAGCTCCCTCGTCTGGCCTTTGGCTGCTACCTGTGGGCGGAGCCTATGTTGCTGCTGTTGCCGGGCAACATCACTGACATCAAGGCGATATTTTTAAATGCTGTCATGTAGCTTAACTGCTGACGGAAAGCACCGCTCTAGTGGTTTGTAAATGCAGCATAATGTGAATTTTAAGCAATAGTGTCACACCTGGATGACAAGATGTGAAGCTACAGCCTGTAGCTTGCTAACTTAGCTTAGCATAAAGATGAACACAACCTGCCTGCCTCAGTTATATCTGTTTAACCTGTACAAATCTGGACTATTTCTGGGAGCAGGGCCCGTAGACACTGTTCACTCCTGTCACTCACCCTTCCAGGACGCTGATGTACTTGTGCGGGATGAGACCTTTGACTCCGCCCACCTCCCCTCTCCACCAATCGCAGGAGGCCTTGCTGTGGAGGATGATAGGTTCTCCCTGCTTGAAGGAAAGCTCTGCCGGAGATCTGGCCACGTAGTCGAACATGGCCACAGCCTCCCACTCTGTGAAAACACGAGGCAAAGTTACAGTCAACACGTCCCAACACTCTTTTATTAACGTATTTGATTAAAAGTAACTCTGATTCCTGTAGAACTCGTGATTCAAAGTGGATTGTGTTGTGGTGCTGTCATGTGGAAAACGGTGGATGACACACAGCGTCTGTCTAATCTGAGCCTGTCTCTGGCGTTTGTGTGTCCACTGACCGTCCTCGCTGGGCAGATGTTCGGCTTCTCCGTCTCCCTCCTCCGTGATTGGTTCACTGCGGAAAAGCACAAAAACAAAATATGTTCATACGGTTCTCGTCTGTTATTTTACATGCAAAAAACGACCCGAGAGCTGATGTCGGGGGTGTTTGGAGGTTTCCGTGGACGCCGGTTGGTGTGCTGCGGGCTTGTGTTCAGCGATCAGCTTAATGCTATTAAGCAGTTTTTACACAAAGCATGGCGAGCTGCACAGAGACGCCTCTGGTGCGGCACGAAATTCTGTTTCAAGAGGATGAGCCGTGAAAGAAGGAGGCTGAGGCGGAAGCTGCTTCATTATTTTGGAACCGTCTCAGACTTAAACTCTGACACAAGGAATGAAATGAGGAACGGTCGCAGCTGCAGTTTACGTCCACGTTTGTCCAGATTTGAACTATAAATATATATATGCAGAGTTCACTGAGAGAAACAAAAAGGATTATTCCATCCCAAATCATCAGGCACATTCTGCTCGACCATCTCTGATTTACCTGAAACTTTATCGTAAATTATGGACATTAAAAATGACATCAAATGCTTTCAGAGATCATTTTTAAATGGTTTAAAAAGATCAAAAACTGATTCTGAATCAGTGTCATGATGAGAACTAACAGTGGAAATTTCAGGCTTTTATCTTTAAAAGTTCCTGAGATATTGTCGTTCATACAGCTTTAAATTTTAATTGTACCTCTGAAAGTTTTGGATGAATCAAGCCACAATTTCACAAATATCTTTGTACACGTTTATAGTTTATGATGAAAAACAAAATCCAGGAAAATCAGTCGAGCAGAAGATGGTTTGGGATCAGTTATTCACATGTTTACATGTTTAGAGTCTGATAGAAAACAAAGTTTAACCCTTTTACAGCAGAAAGTTCTTCAAATATGGGAAATTAATCTTTAAAAATGTCCACAATCATCACAGGTTCATCAGTTAAGGTGTTAAATATCGTCCAGAACAGTGTTTTTATAGAACAACATCATGAAGCTAAACATCGACCGTTTGGATGTGAAACCTCATTACGTCATAGTTTGACATCCAATCAGACATTTGTGGGAAATTTTGTCAAAATTAGCACAACAATTCTTTAGTTACGGCCAAAATTGAATCTGATCATTGTTGGTGGATGTTTAAAATCTGAAGAAAGTCTCACAGAAACGGGACGAATGTTTGAAAACTATTCGGAGAGAAATAATCCAGATAGTTTCTCAAACAGTTGAGGGTATAAAGTTAACTTGCTTTCAAAAAACACCTCTTATTCTAACTTTAGCATTATTCCAAAGTGTTTATCATCAGTCCTAATCCTTTAATCACTTCAGATAAACAGCCTAAATGATTTATTTTTGGTTGAACCAGACACAAGCAGTGCCTATAAAACAGAATGTTGTCAATTCAGTGGAGATATGTTCTCATAGTTTCACGTTTCCCGCCACATGTCCACCCAGGAGTACTCACCAGTACTCCTGCTCCAGGGTCATGTGCTTCTCGTAAACGGGGCCCGGCAGCTCCGACTGGCCGGGGTAGATGCTGTCGTGCTGCAGGATCATGGTTTTGACGAGGTCGTTGACCTGCGGCTGCCTGGCCACGGCGTCGTCCGAGTCCAGCCCCCTCAGCAGGCTGGGCCCGAAGCAGACGGCCAGGTTGTAGGGCTGCATCATGTTCTCGTCGCTGTACTGAGACACGCTGGGCGACACACACATGGACAAACGTCAGCCGCTGTTTCTGTGACGTCATGTGATCATTTGAAGTGAGAGAAAAAGTTGGCTGCTGCTTACTGGTTGAGGAAAGCGAAGAGGTATCGCATCACGATGAGGAGAGGCCGCGGGAAGGTGGAGACGATGGCCTTGATCTGGGCGGCTTTCTCCGTCACCGCCTCGATTTCTGATCGCAGCAGGGAGGAAAGACGAAGTGAGCAACGAATGAACAAACTAGATCTGACTGTAATGACAAGTCTGATGTGCTGCAGCTGTAGTTTCTTTATGACAAACTGCACAAATCAACCCGATGTCTGACTGAAACAAACGATAAGAGCTTCCTCTGTTGTGGTGAGCCGGCTTTGAAGGAATTTAATGAGTAAACAAGCTGCAGGCAGGTGCACGACCTTCGTTAGCTGGAACTCGTGACAGCATGAATGAGACTTTGGCAGGAGAAACAGGTGTTTGCATCTACTGATTATTAGGTTTGCAGGAGGGAGAACATCCTCAACAAGCTGCCCGGAGCATCAGGGAGGCAGCAGCTAAAGCTAAAACCAGCTCATTGCTTTATTCATACAACTCTTGATGAATCTTGCTAACTGAAAAAAAAAACCAACGCATAAACAATCAAGTAAATGAAAGCAGACGTCAACAGAGCGATCTGGAAGTGGCGTGGAGGGATCTTACGGACACACTCCAGCAGCTGGGAGTAGCTGTCGTAGGGGAAGAGAGGAGGCTCGAGGCCCCTGAAGTAAAGCTTCAGCACACCGGCCACCGAGTCCAGGTCGCACTCGCTGTCCGACAGAGGATCCTCTCCTGCAAACACGGCCAACGTGTCAGTGCAGCAACAACAGACGCTTCATAACACAATAAAACACGAGGCATAGAGGTAGACGTGGTGCAGAGAAAAGAGCCACGACACTTTCTGTCACTGTGTTGTTTCTTCATGAAGACAAATCAGTCTCACCAGAGTTTGAAATTTAAAAGCTGCTAAATTTCTAGCTTTGCATTTTATCGTATCTGACTTTTTTTTTTTTTTTTTACGTCTGTATTCAGCTCATCAGAATTTTGCTCGAAGGAAATATAAGTAAATAAATAACTGAGTAGCACCTGTACATATACTGCAGTGGAGAGTTTATTAAAGGAAAAAAATTCTTGAAAAAATGATTTTGTTTTCTTTCTCACTAATAAATGACAAAAACCTTCCACCTGTTTTTCATCTTCGTCTTTACAAAACCCAACATTAATGAGATTTCTGCGTCCAATTTGGGTTTTATTTTGTTTATTTCATTAAATGTACAATTTTTAAACTTCAAACTATTTCCATGTTTTGTTTTTGGTCGACTTCTGGGTCATTTTCATTTTTGTTTTTCGACGCTCACAAATTCAGAATTTCAGGTGGAAAAAGTCAAAACAGGATCACTCAGGTTGCTCGGATTCGATGGGCCATATTTGTTTTAAAAATTTCACAGTCTTGGTCATAAATAATCGATCCTTGCTTAAGTCGAACCAACGTCCGACCAATCAAGTTACACTCCTCTGGTCATGTGACGCTCAACCGATGCTAACGACGGCGCCGCGGTTCACAGTTAGCTGGTGGAGCTGCGGAGCGTTTAGTCACCAAGAAACCAAATCTCTATTTCAGGAGATGCCGAATTGCATTGGCCTAACAGTCACTGTGTTCATGGAGACGTCATAATATGCTAGTTTAGTGTTCACAGCTTCTTGTGCTTACCCACATTCATGCAGGTTTAAGGTCATTTAAAGGCATATTATGGCTTTATTATTTCTATTTCTAAGCTAGAATTCCATTAATTTATCTGCAGTAATCAGATTAATTACTGATAAAAGATCTTTGGTGTCTTGTGCCTCAGCTGGAGGCTGTAAAACCTCCACAGGTTCATCCTGCAACATCAGCTTTTGACTGTTCAGAAGTCAAATCATTCAGCAGTGCAGAGTTTTTAATGGCTAATTATGATCATTGCACGATGCTAAGCTAGTGTGTGCACATGCAGTCCATGTTTATTTATGTGTATTTAGGGGATTCTGACATGTCAAAGAGTTTGAGGCTTCTCCAGAGGAGCTTTCTCATATACAATATATATATATATATTTATTCCAAGGATTAAAATTCATCTTTTCATCGACATTAATCCACTTTTGAATCTAAATTGGCTAAAAACTAAACACCTGTAAACGCTTATTGCTTTTAAAAATGACTTCCTTTTGGTTTTCTAGTTGTAAAAACTGATCTGACGATGACTCTCACCTCTCTCGAACGCGTCTCTGATGAGGTTGACTTCCCTCTGAGAGCCGGGAACTCTGAAGATTCCTTCATGGTGGAGGCCTGAGACGTGAAACACACACATTTACATCACAATACGAGTGTTGCGTATTCTTTATGTTCTACACACGGGATTACACAGACGAGCTCAAACAATGACTCCCACCTACTCGTCCTCGCCGTCCAGATCCGCCTCCCAGCGTGGCTCTTTGATAAACCGTAAAAAAAAACAAAAACCTGACTCACCGTGAAGGTTTATGAAACGGATGCAGCTTTCAACCACCACAGGAATCTGCTGCCCAGAGCTCTGCAGGAGAAAGATGGCGAGAGAAGGAGACATGAGAGGAGAAGAGATTGTTGGAGACAGAAAGAGGCTGCAGATAAGTGATGCAAAGAAAAAAAAAAAAAGAAAGACGAGGACGGCAAAGAATCCACAACACAAAGGAAAATCGTGTAAAAACCGAAGAGTCAATGTGAGGAAAAGAGCAAAGAAACAGTGGGAGGGGATGAAAAGAGCAGGAAAATGACCAATGAAATGTGTTCGCTCAAGGATGTCAACTCACAAGAAACTGGAATAATATGATTTAGCCTCTTTTTTTCTCGTAACAACTTTTTCAGGAAACTTTAAAGGAGATTATTAAGTGAAAAAAATGGAAAGGAATCAGGAATCAGCCCAAAAACTGTCTAACATTTTGGGAAACAGACTTATTTGTTGTCTTGAGTTAGCTACGATAGGTTAAAATTAGAAAAAAATACAATAACACGGGAATCAATTGATCAACCTGATGAAACAATTAACAGGATCTAAGTAAAATACATGAATAAAAATAAAAATAATATTAAATAAGACAACGTAAAACTAGAAGAGAAACGTAAAATGTAATAGTGGCAATGATGCTGACGTAATAAACCACACTTGTACCTGTCAATTAAATATGATGCTAGCCGTTAGCTTAGCTTAGCAAGCATGAAAAGAAAGCTAGCTTAGCAACGTCCTTTGTTTATATATTTTAAATATATATAAAATATATATATTTTTATATATAGAAAAACCAACACCTTTTTTTTCATATTTGAGCAGCACCAGGCTAGCTCGTCCTGCTGCTCCATGCTATGCTAAGCTAACTAGCTACTTGTGGCAGCCTTATGTTTATCATCCAGACAATAGTCTTCTCCTGGAACTCTCAGCAGGAAAGCAAATAAAGGTCTTTCCCAAAATAATGTCCACAAACTGTGTAAACAATGATGGACTTAGAATAATAACACATTCTAATACGTCGTGTTTTTTATTAGTGAAAGTTAAGTGACATTTCAGTCTTTTATCGTTCATTTAAATATGAAGCTGGAGCCAGTTAGCTCAGTTTTTCATAAAAACCATAAAGGAGAAAAGCTTGATTTGTTCAACGCGGAAATACCAAAAGCTGCAGTTCCTCAAATATCCACTGGAGGCTGCCTTCAACAGTGAGTCGATCCCAATAGACCGCTATGCTAAAATGCTAAACTTTACAGCAGAAATAAACACGTTTACAGCCAAAGAACGGTTCAGGTCTGTTTAGCTTATTTTTATATTTACGAAAACTTGACAGGTTGTACATTTTTATATAAATTTTCCGTTCAAATTGTATTTACGCTTATTATTTAAAAACTGCTTTGTGCGAAGCTGAGGCTAATGCTAAGCTAAATGGCTGCTTTATCGTACAGATACAAGAGTGGTTTCCACCTTCTTATGTGATGATCGACAAGAAAGCAAATAAGCAACATAAAAAAAATGGAACAAAAGGTGTAACGTCAATATTATTACTTGTTTAGGGGTCAATAAATAATAAAATGTTTCTGTAAAGTGATGCAGGGATGTGTTTATACTAACAAAACTACTGCTGCTCATTCTATATTCTTATTATTATTAATTATTTTGTATTATTATTGTTGTTGTTTTGCATATTATTTCTTCTACAAGCACAACTCGCATGATATTTTGCACGTTATGTTGCTTATTTTTCTTAAATCTAACACGTGCGAGCTGTTGAACACCTTCAATTTCCCCAAGGGGATGAATAAAGCATCAATCTGTGGTATTTTAACATCACCAGACAGCTTTCTGGTGCAAGCGGTTGAGGTAACGTCTGCAAAACTGCTTCGAAATCTCCCAAAAATGTTGACCTATTCCTTTTTTTAACACCAGATTGTAAACTCTGCTCTTCCTCCAAGATTTCTAAAACTCTCCAGGGTGGAAAAGAAAGAAAAAAGAAAAGAAAAAGAAAAGGTTGGACATGACTTCAGTGCGCTCGATGGAAGCCTCGCTGTGGGAAGCGGCCCACATGCAGCACATAAGCAGTCACAGATGGTCGGTACCTGTGTCCGAGACATTCTCCTTCTCCTCCTGCACCAAAAGCCAAGCACAGCACACGAGAAGAAGGAAAGGAAAGGGAAGGAAAAGAAAAAAGAAAAAGAAAAAGCAGAGATTAGACGAGAAGGGAGAGCAACAATAAAAGGGGAATATAAAGATTTAGAGGCGGCGGGAAACACGAGCACGCGCACACTCGGCAGAGGAGTCGAGAGGAGGCAGCAAAGAGGCCAGCGCATTTTAATCCGTCTCACAAGAGGAAGAGATATAAACAGGATTGAAAAGGGAGAGAAAGCCAGCAATAAGCCACGAGCATGACCAAACACACGAAGGCAGAAAGTGCACCGAGGGACTTCGCTGCGAAAAAAAAAAAAACCTTATTTCCTCTGAATCGGATGATTTCGGTGCAGAAAGCAGCACAAGGGGAAGTAAAATGAAACAGAGACGGTGTTTCTGTGTGTGTTACCTGTATGTAGGAGATTATGTCTGTGGTGAAGAGTGTGTGGCAGAATTGGGAAACTGGTCGGGACTTCCTGACGCGCATCGACCGAGCGCATTGCATTCTGGGAAATATAACAGATAGCTTTAACACCCGATAGGTCCAAGATGTCTAACAGCTGCATGGTTGATCAGGAGAGTCTAAACACATGATAATTGGTTTAAATGTGGCCCCGTCCTCGTCCTCTCTGCTCTCTCCTGGACTCTAAGCCTCTCAGCCACTCTCTCGTTATTCTCAGGTGTGTGAAGGCGCTGTTTACCTGGACGGGTCGCTGTCCACGGCCTCGGCTGCAAGAAGAAAAAACACAGAAAAAGGTTTGATTTAGTGCAACACAGCCGGCAGGAGACGTTCTGGTATTACATTAAAAATAAATAAACAAAATGTAATGCTTAAAGAACGTTATAAGAATGTTTTCATGTTCAATAACGTTCCTATGAAGTTAGTTTAATGTTTGGCATTCAGAGGACGTTCCATCATAACAGAAACTAACTCAAACCAATTTAAAAAAAAAAACAAAAGGCCTCAGATGATTTCTATAAAATGTTCCCGTAATGTAAAATATTAAGAAAGGTGGAACATTTCTCCTGCAATGTTCTGAGAATGTTTTGAAGAAGTTGTTAACATGCGATGGAATGTTCTTCTACAAAACATTCTCACAATGTTCCACGATAAAGAAGAATGTTCTGAGACCAACGTTAAAAAAAAAAAAAAAAAAGTTTTCCAGATGTTATCGAGGCCTCAGATAATTTTTTTTTTTTTTATAAAATGTTCCCGTAATGTAATAAAGAAAAATGTTTCCCCAATGTTGTAGGATAACAAAAGAAGAACCTCCTCAGTTCAACATTTAGTTTTGAGAACATCAGCGCGTAACGTTCTAACAACCTTATCACTAAACATTCTGGAACATCTTCAACTATCCTGCCTTTAAGAACAACATTCTGGAAAACATTAGCAGAACCCTCTCAGAACGTTTTTCAAACTAAAGAATTCCAGCTGGAAAATAAAGGAAGGAGCAACATTCAAAAAACATTCTCAAGCTGTTACTGAGGCCTCAGAGATGGCAGAATGTTCTTTAAAGGTTCCTGTAATGTGATCTATTGACAAAAGTGGAACATTCTGCCTCAGGATGTTTTGGAGAGTCTAGTGATGGAGCCCAATATACAATTTATAAAACGTTCCCACAATGTTTCCACAATGTTAAATGATAAACAAAAGGAAGAACCTTCTCAGCTCAACATTTAGTTTGGAGAACATCAGGGCTTAATGTTCTACACTGAAAAACTGCAGCCGGGTTATTCAAAGGAAACTTTTGCTAATTGAGCCGCTTTAGTTTTCGGCTCCAGATGGACTAAAGTCTGATTAACGTCCCCGATCGAAGCCACTCGAGGCCTCACCAGCTGGGAACCAAAGCTGCAAGCACGAAACCAAAAAACAAAACTAAATCTAGGACTGCGCTTAAGGCTCGACGTCCCAGACCACAGTAGTCACTGCTGGAATAACACACTTCACCAAAACGTTGCATCGTGGGTGAACAAACTCGGACGAACCTTTCTGTATGGCGTCGTGTAGAAGGTCGTGTTTGGCTTGAAGCTTGGACGTCAGAGAGCTGCTGGTCAGGAACTCCTTCACTTTCTGAGGTAAAGAAAAAAAAGATTGAACCATTTAGTCCTCGATGCAAAACCGAAAACAACCCAAAGCTGACAACAATAAAGCTCCAATAATCAACTGGTTCTTACTGCAACCATTAAAAAACGCTCCGCATACATAGAAGAACATTATAATTAAAATATACATTAATCGTATTGTGCACTGTTTTTTTACTCCTCTCACATTTTTCCTCACTGTCGCCTCATTTTAAATTTTTCTCTACGGAAACAGAACAACCAGGACTAGAAGGACAGAGGACTCAGAAATGTCTCTGGTGAAATATAACAAAGTTTTAACTCAATAAATCCTTTAAAAAAAAAAAGAAAAAAAAGAAAAAAGAATTTCATTTATTATTTATTTTACAAAAAAAATAAAAAATCAACCTAGAACCAACAAATAAAGTTGAATATTTAGATCTTTATTTAACAAAAATGTAAAAAAAAAAAAAACCCCAGAACCAACATGTATAATAATGTTCCAGTAGTAATTTTACGTATTTAATTAGTTTCTTGGCTGCATCGTGTAAACACAGCCTGCAGCTCAGCCGAATTTTTGCCACATGACTGTTGGTCTCAGCTGACTCGTTTATGGCTCAGCGGTTTCAGCAAAATGTGCAGAATTTTTATTTTTTTATAGAATCTGTTTTTTATAAACGGTTCATTTTTGACAAATTTTTAAATAAGACATGTGGAATTGGTGATTTTGCTGTAGTTAAAGCATCACAGACGGGTAGTTTAAGGACCATAGGAAAGTAGAGAATCTGGTGGTTCTTGTAGGTTGTCGGTGTCTTTTCTGTGATCTGAACTCACTGTAAAGTAGTAGGTCTCCGTCTCCTGCTGATTGGCTCGACGCTTGGCGAGGGTGAGCTTCGGGAGAGTTCCTCCTCCGGGCGGCTCGTGCGATAGGCTGCTGGACACGTCGGGGGAGGGGTTACAGTCGCTGTCGCACATAGTGTCCAGCAGGGCGACGAGCGTGGCTTTGAGTGTTTTGCTGACCTGAGGAGGGTAAAGAAGAAGCGGCCGTTTGTTAATTTAGTTTTTCAGACCGTTTCTAAAACGGACAGACGACGGCTCGTTACGGAAACGGCGACAACGATTGGCTGACCTCCTCTGTTTCCAGGGTAACGGCAGCGAGGCGGGACTGAAGCTGCTGGAAGCGGGTCTCCAGCTCGTACCTCACCTGGCTCTCCGCGCTCACCTCGCACACCTGAAACGCACAAACAGAATGAAGAACGTGACTCGACAAAATCGGTAGGATGTATGTAAACAAGCAGCAGCGTGTCGCAGGAGCCCCGAATGAAAAACAGACGCAGTCGACTGTTTGCTGAACTCCTGTCGAGCTTCTCGGCATCACAAATGCAGCCGACCGCGGTGAAATTATCACACGAAATCCTTCGAATTAATCGAGTGGAATTCACACAGAAGTAGTTCCACCTGATCAGAGAAATCAGAAACCACCCCGCGGTCTTTTTTTTTTTTTTTGTTCAAAGTTTAATTAAAAACTTCTTCAAAGACCATTTTAACACCACTTAGGATAAAATTTAAAGCCACCTTCACGGCCACAAAGTGTAATGATGTATTTTAATTATCTCTTTTATATAATTAATTTTAAAACAGTGAGTGTGGATTTGAAGACATCTTAATACTGACACCTTTTGAAGTTTGTGAGTAGCTGATTATTAGCGAAGCAAACGACTGATTCAGAACTGATGTAAGACGTGTGCAGTCATCACATTTGTGTTTATTTGATCCTACAAAAGGACGCAAAGAAAATTTAAGACATTTGAATAGAAAATTCAAACTAAAGCCAACACTTGTCGCGCCTTATTTTGAAAATACTACATTTTATTACTTAAAAGAAGACCTGCAGGCACCCCGAGTGATTAAATATCTGCAGCAGCCAGCAGATTTTATTAGCTGTAGCCAGTTTCGCTAATTAACTCTGCGAGTCGGTTAAAAATCTCCAGCAGGAACCTCACACACACTAAACGATCTTAAATACTGCATGAATCCTGGGTATAAAAAAGTTATAACACTCAAAGCCCCGAGGCTGAAGCTACGCGTCTCAGGAATAAAATATCCTCGTAGTTAACATTAAGGTTAAATGTGAGGATTAGAACTATTAAATCGGTTTCTGAGGCTTAACGCCATCTTGGCTGAACAAGTTGGACTGAAATTCAAGCAAAAGAGCAGGACAGAGGCGCTAGCTTTACCCAGAACGTCATGCAGCAGCATCTTGGCTAACAATGCAATGCTAGCTAGCTACTGTATGTAGCGAGCTAGTCGGCTGGGCAGGTGGTGTTTAAGCCATTTGTTGCTACTTGAAAAAAGAATGCCAACTTGGCTGAACAAGTTGGACTAGAATTCAAGCAAAAGAGCAGGACAGAGGTGCTAGCTTTAGCCAGCACGTCATGTAGCAGCGTCTCAGCTAACGCGTGCCTGGGATTTGAAAGCCATACTAGCTAGCTACTGTATGTAGTGAGCTAGTCGGCTGGGCATGCTAACATCTGAGCAGGTGGTGTTTAAGCCATTTGTTGCTAAGAATTCATTGTACTTAATATTATTTATATACCGTAAATTCTGGACTATGAGCGCACCTGAATATTAGCCGCACCCACTAACTTTAAAAAAAAAACTAGTTGTGTACATATATCGGCCGCACTTGTCTATAAGCTGCAGGTGTCCACGTTGAGATATTTACACAGAAAGATTTTTTTAACTTTTAATTAACTACGTAGCGGTAACATACACAGATACCGTAAATACTTTTTTCTGAACAGCGCCTGTAACACGTCTGGTTAAGAAAATAAAAAATACACAATCATCTTCTTCAGCCTCAGAATTCCTTCGTCACTTCCTCAGTCTCTCTGTCGTTGTTGCTCTCAACGTCACTTTCGTTTTTCGCAAATTTGTAAAACTCGTAAAAATCCATAAATTAGCCGCGTCGTTGTTTAATCCGTGGTGTTCAAAGCACGTGAAGAAAAGTAGCGTCTTATAGTCCGGACATTACGGCAACTTTGATAAATCGTATTGTTTTACTGATGTATATCTTTTTTGTGCATCCATAAGCTTCCACATGCAGACCAGTCACACCTGCTGAGGCCCTTTAAGCATCTATTTAATCCATCATTAACCACGACTGCAAAACATTTCTGGGTTATTTTGCATTCTGGTGGAACATTAGCACGCAGGGACGCGAGCACCTGGACCGGTTGTCTTATTGCACGAACAAAACCTTGATCGACACCCGGAGTCTACACCCAGCGAGTCAGACTAGCGTCCGGTCACCTGGTCTCCCTCGTGCGGATGGTAGTTGAATCTGAACGGGAGGCAGAAGGCGGAGTCGTGTTGCTGCAGCAGCGCGTCCCGGTCTCCGCCCTGGTCCAGCGACGTGACGGCCGCCTCCAGCTGCTTCAGCCCCGTCTCCTCCGTCTTCTGGATGCGCCACCTGCTGGCCAGGTAGCACTTCATCACCCTCTCCATGGACAGGTGGAAGCCGAGGTCGCAGCACTGCCGGTGGGGGAAGGAAAGAAAGAAGGCCAGACAGAATGATGAGATGGGAGGGAAGTGACGGAGCACAAAAACGAAGCAGAGACACAAACGCTCCCTACGTCGATGAGGGTGCTGACGTCCTGCAGGTAATACTTGTTCATGGCTGCGTTGGCTGCTGCCAGGTTCAGCAGGTAGTCGTTGCGAGCCTTGGTGCACTTCAGCTGGGTCTCCTGGACTCTGCCGTGCCTCTGAGGATACACGATGCACATGAAATAAAAGGTAAGAGACGATGACACAACCGACAGGAGAAAGAGCCGACGCAACAACAGGAACAAGAAGCGGTTTGTTCTTTAGTAAACCCACCTCAGGACTTCCTGAGGCCTCTCGTTTCTTTTTTTGCTGTTTGTCTCTCACACACACACTTTGTTCTTTTTCCCTGCAGCTGCCTCGGCTGCCGCCTGCATGCTGCAGCACAGTCAGGCCTCGCCGCTCGGTCACCACGCTGCACCTTAAAGCGCCGACCGAGTTGCTCACATGTCGGTCAGAGTGCGAAGCAGCCGTCATCCGTCTCAGAGGCTCGTTTACACTCACATGAGACGTGATGGTGATGATAAACGTCATGGAGCTGCACACAGGGTCACGGTGGCAGAGGAGCATGCAGGAGGACATCCTGGTGTTTTCTGGCCACACAACAGGCCCTGATCGTAGTTAAATAATTACACTTTTACTGCATATACATCCTCTATGTCACGTCCTACACATGCTCATACCGCTAGTGTACAGAGCTCTGTCCGTGCTGATCACATAATGCTGTAAATGATGAACTTTACTTTTGCTCTTCTGGTTCGATGCTAAACTCAACATGTCGTTGTCTCACTAGTTGTAACCTCTGTAATCACAATAGAGCTTAATGTAATCTAATCTTCTAAAAAACACAAACAAGTCTTGAAAAATTCATGCAAAATTCACACCGACAGACCAAAAACAGCGTTTACGTCGCCGCTGTTTGGTGCATAAGCTGAAGTCAACACACAATCCAGACTGAACTGCAGATATTTCTGCACTTAACGAAGACGAAAACGTCGCGTTTGGAATCAGCGAGGAACTCCCTCGGGCGCCGTGAGAAGTAAAATAACGGCTGCAGCCGGCAGATTCAATTAGCTGCAGCTAGTTTGCTAATTAACTCTTTAATGTAGAAACAATATAGACGGACACAAATGGATGCTGAATGCTGAGTGCACTTAAGATAAAGGTAAAATTAAGGCTAGATATGAAGACGAGGAAGTTTAACACCATCTTGGGTAAAAATATGACGGAGTAAAGAGCAGAACGTGACCCTAAACCATCATGTAATAGCATTTTGGCTAACATGCAGTGGGTATAAATGGGAATTTAAGATATGTAGCCTGTAAACCCACATCATAAACAGCTAGCTCATGATGCACACCTTCATACTGACAGGAACACCAGCTAACTGGTGCATGTGGTGAGCTTCAGCGCTGATGATTGAATTTCATCACAGTTAAGCTTTTTCTAAAAGATGTGGAAAAAAAGTCTGAGAAAACTCACACTAAATGACCTAAAACATTCTCCTAAGTCGCCATTATTTCATGCAAAAGCTGCGTACGTGGAGCCAACAAACCGAATCGTAACCCAACAACGAAGAACGGCAGGTGTTTAACGAATACAGCGAGAGAGTCGCCGCCAAGCAGCAAAACATCTGTTCATTAAAACCCTCAGAAGGAAACGGGCGTCTGATCAGTAGCTCCAAAGCTGCTCTGATATCCGACGTCCTAATACTGTTAAAATAATACTGATAAAATAGATCAGAATTCATTTATTGTCAACAATCAGACACTATTTTTAAAAGTACAGGAAGAAATGTGAAAGAAAAAACTAGCAAGTGCATCTAAAAAAAAGAGCAGGATAGTTTGGTAAATTTATAAAAACAATGACTGATGTTGAACTTAAACAAATAAATCTGGTTTAAAATGGTGCAAAGATGACACGTGAGGTGCATCTTCATGTCAGAGTGTAGCTTCAGCAGATAAACAGGAGGCAGTCTGAACATCCAGACGCTCACCTTCTCCATCAGCCGCTCCATCTTCTTCACAGAGCTCCTCCTCTGGCCCACCAGCTGGCCCGGTCCCAGCTCGGCCGACTTGCCGGTGTGCCTCTCCTCCAGCCGCTCGGCCTCCTTCAGCTTCCCCTCGGCGATCAGGCAGTCCGTGTGGTACTGGTTGTACGTCTTCAGGGCCTTCAGCGGGCCAAACAAACACAAACGTGGAGTCAGCGCGCTCGCCGCCGGCGCACGGTTACAACAAGTTGAAGCGAGTTCTCACCGTCTGCAGCTCGGTGGTGACTTTCATCAGCTCGTCCTGCATCTGGATCCCCACTTCTTTACTCTGCAATGGAAATATTAGAAGATTGATTATCTGAGAGTAAAACATGAGGCGCTTAGAGCTGAACAATAACACCAATACCATTGGCAAAATCAGTTCCAGCACCGTTTATAACATTATATTTATATTTTACATTCATGCACAATATTGTCAATGTAGTGTGCAATATTTAATATTTCATTTCTCAGGTGCAATATTTCAATTTTTATCTGGTTATTTCATTTTTATGTGCAATATTTCACATTTTAATGGACAATACTGGCAATGTAACGTGCAATGTTTCATTTTTACCTCATGTTTAGGTGAATTATTTCATTTTCATCTCATTTTTTGGTGCTTTATTTCACTTTTATCTAATTCTAAGGTGCATTATTTCACTTTTATCCCATTTTTTATGTGCATTGTTTCAGTTTCATGCACAATATTGTCAATGTAACAGGTAATATTTCATATTTCATTTCTCAGGTGCAATATTTCAATTTTTATCTGTAATATTTAGATTTTTATGTGCAATATTCCACGTTTTAATGGACAATACTGACAATGTAATGTGCATTATTTCATTTTCACCTCTTTTTTCAGGTGCAAGATGCCAGTTTCATGTGCAATACTTTAAATTTCATTCCTAAGATGCAATATTTCAACTTTTATCTGGTTAATATTTAATTGTTATGTGAAATATTTGACATTTTAATAGACGACATTGTCACTGCAATGTGCATTATCCCATTCTTATCTCATATTTAGGTGCATTATTCCATTTTCGTCTCATTTTTCAGGTGCAAGACTTTAATTTCTTGTGCAAAATTTCATTTTCTTTTGCACCTTTTTGATCACATGTGTGATATCTCAATTTGTGAGAACAACTTTGTCAGTGCAATGTGTCGTATTTCATCTTCATCTGATTTTTAGGTGCAATATTTCATTTTCATGTGTGATATTTTAACTGTTCTATTCCAGCCTTATGTTATTCCAGTAATGTGTCGTACTTCCATCTTATTGCTTTTATTCCGCATTTCTTATGTTCTGTCATTGGACTTTTTCTGAGCAACATCTTGCACAATAATTAGTTTCATCTCATCTTATATGAAACCTGCACAGAGTCGGAGGAGAAGCTCGGCGGTCGTGTAGGTGTAGCTAACTTTAAAGCTAATGGGATTAGCTTGGCTTAGTTCCAGCTTGTAACGTCCCAGAGAAACAGAATTAGCTGCTGTTTCATTCCAGTTGTTGTACGAGGTAATTAATGACCTTTAGACGTGTGATTTTACTGTCAGACTTGTTCTAGTAAAGCTTCATTTCCAGCATGCAGACAGGTATCAGTGTTGAGGTTTAATAATCTGCAGGACGACCACAGCGCAGCACTCTGTGTCGCTCAGCTGCTTGATTTCTTGGCAGAAAAAAATCGTGTCTTGTTGTCGTTCTAATTTGCCTAATATTGTGTTGTGACTTTAGAGCTGCACAGCATCACTTATTGAATAACACGCGACGATGTGTTGGATTTAGTGCTGAAAGCGCGGCGCTGTGCCTGGCGCCGGGCCGAACGGCGCCTCTGGAGCGGCTTCATTAGGATTCTGCTCACTTTTGCACCGTGAGAAAGGTACGGAGCGTGTCTGACAACCTGTAATTTGAACAAGACGAGTCTGTGTACTTTAGAAAATGAATGACACTGCAGATGCCACCGCGTTACGAGGGACGAATGCAGGAGGCGGCGCTGATCCGGAGCCTCGCATTGTGCTCGACTTCCACACTCCGCTCTGAGTTTGTTCGCTTTTCAAGGCCGACAGCTAACGACTGGAGTCACTTGTGTTTTATTGTAAAATTAATGTTGCAGCGCTGGAAAAAAAAAAAAAAAAAATCAATTTTCATGAATTTATGCATCAAGTCTGGGCTTGTTTTCCACTCAGGAGATAGACTGGAGTGATTCCTGCTGTTTGTTAAAGCGCTGCGATATCAGCGCTCTGTCTGCAAAAAAGTGCTGAAGTTAAGTAAAATGATCTGTCCTTGGTTTAAAAACACACATTCTGTAATATGTAAAATGCAGGAAGCGTGTCAGACACAACTCCACAGCTACGCACAGCGCCATAGAACAACATGTAAACGCTAGAATCTGGATTTATGTGGATTATTGGCACGCTTGAGGAGAAGAAATTCTGTCAGGGCTACAACTCGCTCCACTAAAAAATTAAAACACATAAAAGATAAAATACAAAATACTGCAGAGTAAAATTAAACACCTGAAATAAAAATACCAAACAGTACAGACAAGTTGAATAAAGTGTACAGTAACCGGAATAATTACAACCGACTAGCTAAAACTACGTTAAAAACAAAAAAAGAAAGGAAAAGATAGGATACAATAAAATAGACAAATGTTTATAAAAAAAAAAATTAATGAATGAAAGTGCAGAAGAAAACTTGGTGCCGGTTATCATTGTCAGCTAGTGCTACAGCATGCTAATATAGCATTATGCTATTAGCTTAACATAGAATAAGCCAGTTAGCTCGTGCTACAGCATGCTAATATAGCATAACGTTTTTGGCTTAACATAAAGTTAGCTGGTTAGCCAGTGGTACAGCAAGCTGTGCCATAGCGTTATTTATTTAACATAGTCCCCTTTTTAGCTAGTGCTATATCTAGCTAACATAGCATATGATTATTAGCTTAACAGAGTCAGCTAGTTAGCTAGTGCTACAGCAAGTTAATGTATTATAGTGTTATTAGCATAACATAGAGTCAGTTTATTAGCCAGAGCTACAGCAAGATAATATAGAATATTGTTATTAGCTTAACATAAAGGCAGCTAGTTAGCTTGTGATACAGCAAGTGAATATATCATAATGTTATTAGCTTCACATAGAGTTAGTTAGTTAGCTTGTTTAGCAAGCTAATGTAGTATAATGTTTCTAGTGTGACATAACATCAGCTAGTTATCATTTCATACAGAAAATAATATATATATTATGGCTGGTTAGCTTCTGTGTTACTGTATTAGATGATGGTGAACATAATTTATCAGAAATCTAACATTAGCGAGGTTAGCATTGTGAAAATCCTTAAAGCCCACAAGGGCCTTCCTCAATCTGAAGTCCTGCTCTGACATTTTCACATATTACAATTTCATTCAAACTGATGGATAATCCTCCACATGACTCGTGTGTTAGCAGTAAAAATAAAAAGTTATATATTCTTGTAAACAAAAAAATGAAATAAAAGCTTTTTCTGTTGTCAGAATTTTACATCATCTTACCTCTAAACTACTTTTTTGATTTCCTCAGAGCAGTAAACAAGTAAATACTATGTGAGGGTTCGTCAGGTCACTATCATGAAGCAAATGAAACTGGGCTTCACCTCACGTCTGTTGTATGTCAGCGTCTACATGCGTGTTCCTGGACAGAGGACATGCTCTCACCCGTTTGTGCAGCCGGTGTGTGTCCTCTGTACTGTGCACCAGCCGCTGAGTGAGCGTGTTGCAGCAGGTGTCGCCCAGCGCCGCATGTTCTCGGCTCTCCAGACGGGTCTGGGTCAGCAGAACCGACCAGACCTGACACACCGACTGGCCCCACTGCTCCTTCCTGCAGAACAACACGGGTTCAGATTACCTCACTTCAGAACCACCTGACGAAGACGAACACGTGCACTCGGCCTACTTTTTGGTCTTGTGGGTGAATCTCTCGGTGAGCTTGTCGAGGGCTCGAGCGTATTCGGCCTCGATGTCGCCGCGACGCCGCAGGAACTCAGACAGATCCGAGAGCTGCTGCTGCTTCACCTCCACCTGAGAGTCCAGAATCTTGATCTGGTCTGTCAGCTGGGCCCGCAGGTCTGAGAGGAGAGAGCGGCTTAAGCAAATATATGTAGATGGACCCGGACACATGCAAATACAAAGAGAGAGGTTCAGATGGAAACAAAAGTTTACACATGAAAGTAAATAAACAAGTAAATAAAACTATTCATACAACTCGTACATTTCTATAAATGAAGTTCGTGTTTTGTCACATTTTGGTTTCCTTATAGATTTATTATGTCTTCTGGAAATATGCATTAAAAAACAAACATACAGCGACTATCAGTTTAGTGATGCAGACAGTTTTGTTAATCATGATTGCCTCCAGCTGCTGACTCCTCTGATCCGGTTTAAACAGAACCATCTGATCCACTCATTAGGCGCAGACAGCTGGAAAGTCTGAGGAGGTCAACAAAGACCACATCATTGACTTGGGGGCCTTTAAGCCCAAGAACACCAAACCTACCATCAGGCATGGAGGTGGCAGCATCATGGAGCTTCACACTAAGTCAGTGGAACAATGAAGGAGGAGGAGGAGGATCACGTCCACGTTCTTCAGGAAGGGATTTAGTTTTGTCAAATAAACGTTTGTATTATTCGTCCTTGTTGCTACCGGATACGTTGGGTTGACTGCTGATGAAATGAGAACGTGCAGTGAGCGAGGCTGCTTGATCTGATCTTGCTCAAAGTGTGGCTGTGAGGAAAAATGCATTTTCCCTGATTGCAGTGACTCCCAGTGGTCACATGATGCTGTTTCTTCAGTCGACCGTGGTTAGAGGTGCAGTTCCAACGCATCCAGATCGGTGTCGTACGCAACAGTTGATGAGATGTGATGTCACTTCTTCCACTTTTGATTGGCGGTGACGGACTAATGCGTTCAAAAATCACAGATGCTCATGATAACTTTTGAGAGTCTGAAGATCGTCTGTGCCAAATTTGGCGACCAATGGAAATTCAAAAAATCCAACGAGGCAGAAATTGACCTCACAGGATGCTTCAAACTGATCCTGATCCAAGAAATCCAACAGAGCCTCATTCTTACAAATCAGGGTTCAAGAGTGTAAAGATGCAACTTTTTGGCTCCAGAAACAAAATGAAATTTAGTTAAAAGAATCAAGGAGCCGTCCGAAGTCAGCGGCTAATGTCAGAACTCTTCATTTTATAACCTGAACTTGCTGCTGAAGACTCCTGAAGGAGGAAGAAGGTTTATAGAGGAAGGTAGAAAGGCAATTAATCAGCACATTTCAACACTGAGGAGATTCAAAACGCTTTAGATAAAACACATGAAGCATCGAGTCAATGAGTAGGAGGAGCTTAAAGCAAACAGTTAAAAGAGAAAAGAATGAGATGAACTGTGCCGGTAAGAGTTACGACTCTGCACACATGCAGTTTTCTGGGAGTTTGTTCCACATATTTGCTGCGTAACAACTAAAGCTGCCTCTCTGTGCTGTGTTTGGACTTTAGGGACAGAAACTGACCCAAAGCAGCAGATCTGAACCGTGTTCTGGCCTGAAAACCCAAACATTCAAAACTTTAAAACCGCGTCTTTGGCGGCGTGTAAAGACGTCAGAACTGGACTGAAGACAAACGCGTGGACACGTCCTTTCATTACTGATGTATTCAGGTTATTGGAGGCCGACTTGGTAATTATTTCACTGTGGCTGTAGAGATGATTCATAACTGACCACAGCGCAGTTTCTGGCTCGGTCTGTGGTTTTTAACATCACCAGCTGAGGCGGGTTACCCCCTGTGCAGCTTCACCTTTTACCCCCAGCGATGCTCGAGACGTGTAGAATACTTTCACTTCACAACAGCTGGGCTCGTCTGGTTTCACTTTCCAGCATACGAGGTGTTCAAAAAGCCCAACGCTGGACCGACACACTGCACGTACAGCAGGTCCAGGTATCGTTATTTTGACACGCTGAAAAATTGAATAAAGCCTCGTGTAGTAAAAAAAGGAATGAAGTGTGACTAAAAGGCCTCCCGTGTTGTCTCTGCAGGCTTTGACAGAAACATATGGATTATTTCCGGCAGCTCACTTGTTATAATCCAGCAGAAACCTGATATTAACGCACGAGCTTGTATGCAAACACGACTAAGCCGGCAGCGCCGCGTTCAAAAGACTAATACAAACATGTGGAACAGCGCTGGCCTCCCTCACCTCTCCCTCGTCTCTTTGCCCATTTTTGGCTCTCTTATTTTTCCCCGTCCTCGCTCTTCCCCCCTTCTTTACTCTTTTTCACTGTCTTTGTGTGAGCACACAGCCCCGGGCTGACTGGATGCGAGGAGACAGCATCACTAATACTGGCTATAAATACACTCTTGTAGTACAGTACCGAGATGCAGCCAGCCCTCCGAATCACGGCACATCGCGCACACATGCATGAGAAAGTCTCCCTCGTTTTGGTTTCACCAAAGCATCTTGTGTGGCTTTTGCAGGGATGCAAGTCGGGCTGCATGTCTGGCTGCAGCTCATGCACGAGTGCCGCCTCTCACGCTCTCGTGCACAAGTGTGACAAAGGGCAGCTTACCTTTCATCTGCGACTCGTACTCGGCCAGGCTCCCCTTCTCCCTCCTCAGCTTTCCGTGAGCTGTCATCATCTTGACCCTCGTTTGTCGTCCCTCCCGATGCTTCCTGATTCCTCGTGATCTCTCCCCCTTCCCGAAACCTTTCACCCCGTCAGCTCCGGGTCGGCGGTCGGCGACCTCTCACCCCTGTGGCCTCTACAGCTGCCCGCAGAGCATCAGCGTGGGTCGGCTGCTCTCGGCGGGGATGTCAGTCGGGTCGATGTGTCCATGGAATCCCCGGGGTTCCCGGCGTGGACGCTGATCCATAGGTGGACGGGCCTGGATGACGAGAAAAGGGGGGAGGCAGATTTACCGAGAGCCGGAGAGGACAAGCGAGGGCAGGGTGACAAGAGAGAAAGGGACAGTGACACCGGAGCAGGGAGAGATTTAATAGGAGGGACGGGGCCAGAGTGGACAGTAGGAGGGCAGCGTGATGGAGGCAGGGTGAAGGATGGGGGGGATGGGATGGCGGGAGGTGATGAGTAACGGCGGTAATGAAGGACGTTCGGCGCCTCGAGGTCGATGTTCGGGGACGTCCATGAAGGTAACAATCAAACACACGAGCAAATGTCTCCGGTGAGGTTTTTTTTTTTTTGCACACTGTGAGAGTTGAGAAATGAAACACCACAGACCGACTCGTGATTCGTCGATTAATTAACGGTTATTTGGGTCTGAAGCGGCTGATAACAGAGTCAGTGTAACGAATTATGGCTGCAGCTGATGTTTTCTGGGTTTCTGGAAGGAGATTTGACAAACAAATAAATAAACCTGCATCAGGGTTACTTCAGCAGAGCTGTGAAGAAACTGCTGGAACATAAAGTCCATC